TGATCATCTGAGAAGATGACTGGCTCTAGAAAGCGAAATCCCTTTACACAAATGATACGCTTTTTGTACAAGCAAAAACCAAAAATATTAGGTTGGTGCAAAAGGAAGGCCGATTTGCGAATTCTCAATTTGACGTGCTATAACTTTCTAAAGAATCCACATTTCTGAATGCGGTAAAGACCCTCAGAAGCAGCAAATCTTTCGCAATACAGCGCATACTTATTTATACTCAAACCATAAAAGGGAAGAGAAATACGGACTAAAAGACAAAGAAGGTTCTTCTGCTAGAAACTTGTTTTTGACAAACTTCCTTCAAAGTTTTTTAGTATAAATGATAAGTGGCCTATCTTGTAGCCACAAGCCAGTAGTACAAAATGCGATAAAAAGAATTCGGACAAAAAAGTTTGCGAAAAAGAGAAAAATTGAAAATTTAAAATTTCTCAGTTTTTTCAACATTTTTTCACTGTGCCTCAAAGTCCGGAATATAGAATTTTCTGATTTTCTACCCACTGAACAGCTGGATGTTTTTGCAAAAACTGTTAATAAGTGTTCTAGCCCTACGCTTACAGAATTGAGCAAAGCTTAGGCGACTGACTTCCTCAGAAGAAAATTATGGGTCATAAAATGACCGCAACAGCTACTCATGTTTAGGCGCCGATATCTCAGTCTGGATAACTTCAAAGAATGCAGTTAAGTACACATAATGTAGACAATTTCTATTACATACTAAATTGCTAAATTTTCGAAGAAATCTCATTGATACGCGCTTAAATTTTGACCGGAAAAGTGAATGCAATGAAATTCTGAATTTGGATGCGGTTATTTGAAGCTCAGTATTACAAGAAATGATGATGAGAGCCCGTTTTAAGCACCGTTAGATAGAGCATGAAAACAGCAGATGGTATACTACATCTATTGTAAAGAAGAAGAATTGATGGGGAAAAGTTGCCCTGAAAAAAGGCTTGGAAAATCGGCCATTCCTTTTGCACCAACCTAATAAAACAGTATAAACGCCAGAAGATTTTGAAATGCAAAAATTACCTGAGAAACGGTTATGTCCTAAAATGATACATTAATCAAGGAAATTCAAACATTCTCATACGGCAAAATTTAGTGTACTGCGCTTCCTTTCTATAAACAAGGAGATTTCAACAAAAGACGAATGGTTGGTATAAAGCCCAAACAGGAAGAAAGCTGCCTCGTGTATGAAGTTGTTGCTCAGGATGGTTCGCATACTGGTAAATATACTGACACGAAAACAATGTCTTGAGACAGTTCGATGTGCCCAAACATGTCTCGAGACTGTTTTGCATGGAAAGAGTGGTATGTTGACGGTTTGATTTTTGGTATTTCTGCCCAGCTTACGGAAGGAAGTTCGAGACAGTTCCATGTATCCATCTGTCTAGTATGCACGAAGGACGGGTCCGCAATATTTCGTCCAACTCGTGTAGTATATCTCCACAATTACCACCAGTTGTCGTGTTTCGAAAGTACAAGATCGTTACATGTTGCTAGTGATGATCTATGAGAATAAGTCATCTGCGAACACACTGCCAAGTTCCTTGTTTGCATTGTCAGTTTTAAGATAATTCTTTACATCTTTATGGCAAAGCCTCTGCATAGCAGCCTTAGCTACACATTTTGAATTAGGGAATGTTGTCAGCTTACTCTCATAAAGTTAACAATGCAAAACGCTTTAGTCCGTTCACCATTATTTTCAACTGTCAATTTTGCAAGTCTTCTCACAAGACTAGAGGAACTTTCGAATGATGCAAACATTTCCATATTAAACATGAAAATCTTCCAAAACAGCCTCCGAACACAAGAATCGAGCGGAACTAGGCAGCAACCTAGTACATGCTTGAGAATAATTGAGATGATGAAAGACGTGCTATAAACTTTGTATGCTTCAGCAACTGTTCTTCTCATCTACAGCTTTTCAATCTGTTAGCTCTCTTGCCTACTGTTATCTGATCCTTACAATCTTGAGTTTCTTCGTCATAATTATTGGGGTCGTGAAAATGGCTGACCTGAGAAAAATCTCCTTAACAGCAAAGCTCATAGCGAGAAAAAACAAACGAATGGAAGCCAAACAATAAATTAAGCACTCATTTAGGATCTGCTCTTGTACAATTCCCAAGTCTTCAGCTCAAGCATCTATTGCTCTTTTAACATCATCGCTATTACGAGTTATTCAAATGTGGTTGTGAAATAATCACGTGGAGTGGCGTCTTACGGTAGCTACCATCGTGCTACCGTAACCTGTTTAACTGAAGATTCATCTTACGATGCTCTGTAAGTTAGGCCCAGCTTTTATTGGGTTGGGACACAAGTCTTACACCAAAAATTTTAAAAAAAATGCAGCTGAAACGCTCACAGCAGCATTTCGTTCTCTGTATATCTTTTCTTTATATGACCTATGCAGAATTTCACTATATACATTATAGAGACTTCATTCCAAACACTATCAAATCTGAAAATATAACTTCCAAAACTGCAAAGTCTTGCAGAGTCCTATAGGCATAGATTTTTAGTTAAAAAGCGTACATTATAAAACCCAAACAGATATCAGAATCAAAAATTCTTGGCCGAGCATTTTTGAGAATTAAAAGCCAGGAATACGCGTGTTGCTGCGCTATTATTCGAAGAGATTAAGCTTCTCTCCTTCTAAGTTGTAATAATTCAAACGGAATTGAATCTGGAGATTACGAAATTGTAATAAATTTCAGTGCAAGGCTTATGTTCCAACCTAATAACTATATTCACCACATTTGAATTTCTCGTTGTCATCCATGCAAACTCTTCGCTCCGCTGTTAACTAGTTATCCGCTCGCTGTTTAGCCTACACCGGAATTTCTACGAAATTTATGCCACAGCTGCACATTTTCTTATGTGACTCACTATAAACAAATACGATACCATCAACAGTCGCTTTATTGCTAAATAGAGAAGAGAACAACAGACACAGCAATCAAACGATGATCAATGATGATTTCTAGGAATGGGTATCGCAAAGTACGGACCAGGCGTAAGGTTCTCGAAAACTTCGCGTGGAAGAGTCTCCACAATCGTGTGCTGAGATTGACACTCGATGTGCTGCACAAGGCTCTCGAGTCCATAAAACTGAAAAACTTTGATTAAAGCAGATAGATTAGATATCACCTAGTCAAAGCCATTGCCCAAATTCCACGTTAGTTGACCCAAAAAAAGAAAACCACGATTTCGCTACAACTTCGTCTAGGGGGTTGATTTGCACGCTGATTACGAATGTCGCATTTATTCCGGACGGTAGTGCTATCTGATGTAGACAAGATAGGATTGCGGTGAGGGGGGGGGGGAAATCATGGATTTGTCCCAGATTTTGTCTAGGGGGTTGTTTGTTACGCTGAACATGAATATCATATTTTCGGACGGTGGGTATACGGTAGATGCTTGGAAATTCCAAATTTGCTCAAAAGCATTGCACAGAAGAGTTCTTAAGCAGGTTATCACCAACATCATCTTATATATAAAGCTGAATGTCTGTCTGTATGTATGTCTGTCTGTATGTATGTCTGTCGTAACTCAGAAAAAGGCGCTACCGTAAGAAATAAGATTCATGCTCAGTGTCCAAATAACCCCCCCCCACTACCGTAATCCTACCGTAACTCCACCAGATGACAAATCATGCGAAATAAATTTGATATTTGTAATCAGCGTGCAAAACAACCCTTATAGATAAAGTTTTAGAAAAATTCGAGATTTTGATTTTTTGGGTCAGCTAATGTGGAATAACACTGGAAATTTGAACTGACTTATCGTTAAAATTCCGGCACCAACCTGAGCCTCGCGCTTTATCTGAGCACGGATACCTCCACTTCCACTTACACTCACCATACCATCTCGAAGGTAATTTAAAATATAGATAAAATGAGTAGGGTCCCTATCGATGAAAACTTCCTCGCCATCCTGCAAATTTCAGATTCACTCAGATATACAATTTCAACCAACAACATTCTAAAAGTTTTTACTTGATAGAGGTACAGAATAATCACCCACCACAAAATTCATCTCCGCGAGCATGCTTCTGTCTCGAGGACCCGGGTTCTTCCTCAGAGTCTCGAGTGAAGTATAGAACTTCTTCCCGCCAACATTCAATACAACAGGCATGCTGAAATCAAGAGAGTAGAGGAATGAAACTGTTGAATGCAGATGACCAACATGGAATGAGACGATTGCTCTTACGAAACTACGTTGACATCGACGTTGTCACATGCGGGCGTGGCACGGATAGCTTTTCCGTTTCGGACCCAGCCGTCTGCCTCGTTATCGAGCGTAGCCATGATTCACACGGCTGGCATCGCATAACGCATCGAGCGGATGCTATAACAAATCGCTGAACAGGTTTTACATTGATAACTTTCACTTTAAGTCCCAATTTAACGCAAAAAAGGAACCGATTGAGGAACGAAGTCCAAAAGGTACGAAATCTCGCATGGAGCCTACCGAAACATTGTCGCCACGAGGACGAACAATTTGATCAACACTTTTCGAATCTGTGCTGCACATGGTGCAGCAACCTGCTTTGAAGGAATCTTTTTACGTTTACAGGAGGTTTTCTTTCAGTCCATGGTTATCAAGTCAAGGGCCTAAGCTTCTACTTTTTAACACGTTGACGACGAGCCCATTTGAAGGTCTGTCCTTGTGGACGAACCGTTTCCGGGCATTTTTACAGCCGGCTGCACATATATATGCATGCATCTATGCGTGAGATACACAGATGCAAGTGGGCGGGGCAGCTCCGCCCACTTTTGGCAAGCCCCGCCCACTTCTCAAAAATGCTGGAAATTGCTCAAAATCAATGAATTTGTGCAAATTCCGGCATTTTTAAAAAGTGGGCGGGGCTTGCCACTGAGGGGGTGGAGCCTGAATTACGGGGGGAGGGTTCAAAATTAAGATTACTTGAGGTTCCCCTGTCATCTATGAGCTTTTCTATGCGATTTGAGGACGAAGGAGTTTTTTGTAGAGGGCAATGGAGTGGGCGGAGTTTGCCAAAAAAGGGGGCGTGGCCAAAATGAAATACTTTCGAGTAACTTGATTGTATGAACACAAATTGGAACCATTGTGCACATTAAAACTGAGGTTTAGGGTGTCGCGCACCATTGCGCGACATCGTCGTCAACGTGTTAAATGACTCTGCAGAGTTGTGCCGCCGATATCTGTTTAGGAGACATGAGCACAAATCTAACGACAGTTGAAACGAAATGCGGCAACGCGAACGACGCGTGCGACGTCGCAACTTCCCTTTGCTTCAATATCAAAGAGAGCCGTAATTTCAATACTGACGTGAACCGTGCACAACATATGTAGATACTTTTGGATACTATCAGAAACTGAGTTCTTGTTCCTATCTTTCAGGAAAGCACAAAATCCCTTCTCAAGTGGCAAAATTCAAACACTTCGAATTCGCTCAAAACTTTGGGTATGGAGCTTATCCGACATGGTCATTACAGATGTAGCACACAGTCTTCAAAATAAGGTCCGTTTGTTGGCTGAGGTTGAAAAAACACTCTTTTCGCCGCGTGCGATTACGTGTTAAGAGAGGCAACAGACATTACGCTCCGTCAAATGACGAAAAAGAAGAATATCAAGAAAGAAACCAGAAATTTTCTTGGGACACTTAATGCACATGTACTATAAAGTACCGAAGAACTTTGCAGAGGCACTACTCTGCTGCTATGAAGAGTACAGATACATGTGTGAACGACTCACGAAAGTAATAAATTCAATGCAGTGCAGGAATGCATTCAAACTGTTTCTGAGCAAAGGATGCCAAATCCGCGGAATTCCTCTCCATACGTTTCAGCCATCAAGCGTGAACGACACACCTGTTTCAGAGAAAAGAATGCTCAATCAAGCTCCTTTCCAAGCAGGGTCCGGCACAGGTAGCTTACAAGCAAGCTGGATATCGTTTTTGGGACAAAAAGCAAAGGGGTTCCGTTTTTGTGGCCAAAAAGACACGAAACTTGCGACGTTCCTTTTTTGGTCGAATTTCGTTTTTTGAGGATTTTTTACGGATTATGGACTAGAGTCAAAGAGGACTTCGTAAAAATTCGCAAAAGTCAAGGGGGGCTTTGTTTTTTGCATTTTCAACTAGCCACCTCGTGCCGAGCCCTGTCTCCGAGCACGATGTGTTAGTCATTGAACAATTGAAGCGCAAGGTACAAATCATCGTGCGCTTAATAATTCTGCAAATCTCTGAATGGATATCGAAATAAACTCGAAAAACTTTACATCGAAAACAGAAAGTTGCCTGCCCCATTACTGACAATGAATCACCGCGGAGACTAAGAAGGACGGCAAGAAGCAGATTCTAATATATAAAGAATCGTAACTCCAATTTGAAAATCATAAATAGTGGGAAACCGCGATGCGGTCCGAAGCGCGCGGATACGATCTAGCACCTTTAATTACTGGTTCACTAGTAGTGAAAAAAAGAAAATGAAGCCCTTCAAAGCCAAGAAAAAACAAGAAGAGAACAAAGACATAGGGAATATCAAAGAGGATAAAAAGAAAAACAGTAGCAAACAAGATCAAGAGAGAGGGACAACATATACAACTTGTATAGCAACCTTTTAGTGGAGTTTGTGATATTCGTCTTTATTGATCAGATGTTGCCAAGTGAATTTTATTGCTTTTTTTCCTTTTCCAAATCTTATGAAGAAAAGTACCATTACGACCGATGCATAATAAGCTCATCTTATTCGCATAAAATCTACACAGGAACAAATATGTATGTGTATGCACTCGTTATACAGGGTGTCCATAAAGTATGTATACACTGTTTGATCGTTATTATCTTTCTTCCTAACAAGTCTTTTGCCTTGCTTCAGATACTGTTTTGTAGAGCTGGCTTCAACTTAGATTTGCAGTATAGAACGAATCACTCACCTTTCTTCATTACTGTAGGATTACGGTAGAAACTTCAAAGAGGGTTTTGAGCCATGAAAGGCCATATTTTGCCTCAGAAATGAAACAAAACAGCCTGAAAGCTTTTACACTAGGCTAATCAGAGCTGTTGATTGTAAAGTTCCCAACTTTTTGTGATGCTTCATTGAAGAGTTATGCCGGGTAAGAGGTAGCGGCCATTTTTTCAATGTTCCTGAAAAGTACGGTTACACCGTTTAGAAAGCTTCGCAATCTTGTGAATAGTTGAGTATGAACTCAGCGTCCATAAAAACCCTGTTACACAAGTTTTCATATTTTTTCTGAAAATTTTAGACCGGCAGCTTTTTCCACATTGACACCATATGGTTCAAGTTTCTGCCGTAATCCTACAGTAATGAAGAGCGATCGATGATTCGCTCCATACTGAAAATCTAAGTTGAAGCCAGCTCTACAAAATGGTACCTGAAGCAAGGCAAAAGGCTTGTTGGGAAGGAAGATATTAACGATCAAACAGTGTATACATACTTTACGGTCACCCTGTATAATAACTCAATGGGAATTCATGAGCCACACTCAAAAAGAGCAATCTCAAACTTAGACGCAACACTCGAGAAAAATGTCCTCGTCTTTCTAATAAGATAAATTGCGAGACTGTACTCATTTTGTTTACACATCCGTTAAGTTAATTCGATTGCATGTGATCAACTCTGCAAGGATGCTCGGCTCATCTTCAATGTTCAATTTCCTTTTCTGATTCGTTAAGATTTCTCCAAGCGGCTATACGAACTTTCCAAAAGTTTTAGGCTTTGAACCCTCTTGATCGTTCGAGAAAAAAACGGTCAGGCACCAGTCATCTTCATGGAAATATGGCTCACTTATATATACAGTAATTCAATTTGAATATATTCATACATGCAAATGTACAGTATAGCAATCTATTGAACTGGTGTGATTCGAAGCGGTTGCGGCTTTGGAAGAAGTATGCCAACATAGATCGGTTCCAAATCGACGGGTCTTTCCTTCGTAGGTTCAATCTGCAGATAAGTAATCGAATTTCTTGAGCAATCTGAAAATACTTACTAACCTTGAAATGTTGGAGTAAAGTGACGAAACCAACAAAAAGTTCCACCATTGCCAGAGCTTCTCCTGCACACTGCCTTTTTCCAATAGAAAATGGGCACAGTTGTTCCGTTGCCTCCTAAAGACAAGATTCAGTCTTGTTTTGCTTAGAGTCTCAAGGAAGCCTACTTTGTTAAATGTGGTCCCATCATCCATCAGAAATCTTTCCGGTCGAAATCTCTCAGCATCATTGTAGACTGGAGAGTGAGCCATGACATGGTTAATATGGCCAATCACGAAGGTGTTTGCAGGAATTGGAACGCTGCCAACGCTGGTGTCTTTAGTAGTACGGTGAAAGACATTTAAGGAAACAATGTTGGCACATCTTTGAATCTCGTAAATAGTTGCACTAGAAAGCGATAATTGCCTTTTCATTATCTGCATCTGAAGCCCGTACTCACATAGTGTATGGCATTCGGTTTCGGAAATCAGCAGTGGGTTTTCGGTCTGGTCCGAGAACTGACATGATTTCCTGGCGAACTTTGTCCTGTAAAGTTCGGGATTGATTCAGGGGAGCTAAGAGAGCAATTTATATGAAACTCCGTGTGTTATTAATCTATCAAGTAAGTTCCAAAGTCTATCTTATTGAAGGAATCAAAATCTGCTCGAGCATTTGCTTAACAAATTATTATTCGCACTTTGCAAGTATGAAGTAGAAATTATCAGTACAGGCCTCTACGTATCATATAACCATTATAGTATTATCGGGTTGTTACATAGGGAACTTCTTACGAAGAACTAGAAACACAACAAACAAAACGTCAAAAAGATTTGAAACAAAACAACAGCATTATTAAGGGAGTAATAATTGCAAATAGCCTCTTATGTTAGATGTTTTGAAGAAATACGGTTTTGCTATGAGGGTGTCTCATAATTTTTTTACCGTTTTTACAACCGTTTTTTGTATTTTTTCATCAATTGATGTGGCTTAAGTAATCATTTAATAGGGCAAAGCAAGCTCTACAAGATGGCTACCAAGAGTCTGCCTTGGTCGTATTCCACATGAAGTTTACTGAAATCTGAAAAAAAAAGAAAACGAACTACACCGTTAACAATCGTAACTCCGCCCCAAAAATTCTAAAAAATTTCCCATTTGTCCTAGCATATGCTAAACATATCGAACACTCAATTGTACACTTTCCGTATTATTTCAAGCAAGAAATAAAGAAAAAATTAATGGAGTAAAATGGCAAACTCCGCCCCTAGAAGTCCTAGGCTCTTCCCACACAAGTGATCCAATAGCTCATACATACACAAATACGATCATGTATTTGTGCCTTTGGTAGGTGCCCCAAGTCTCGAGAAATGCTGAAGTTTAGGGTAAAAGCGGTAAAAAATTATGAGACACCCTAATATAAATATCGATTCTCGTGTAAGCTTATCAACATCATGTGAACACGACATAAAAACAAATTACTTCAAACAAAGCTTAATCGCAAAATAGGCGTTCAATTTTATTTTATTTAGCCCATAATTTATAGATTTTGTCTTGGTTGTATTCGGTACGTCGAATAGGCATAACCCAGAAGCTTTGGATCAGATTTTGCTCAGATACTGTTCTGGATGGCTTCGTTTTATATCGTTCTAGCTGTTGCCTTGGACCAAAAAGTGTTACCAAATACTTCTATCTATCTGACTAACATTTTTGGAAGCTATTTTTCCAGCTTGGCAAAATACATGGACGTTCATGACATTTTTCTCGAAGTCACTGTTATAAGCATGTTGTATGCAGTTCTTAAAAACGTGCGTTTTCTCACCTGGACCGACTGATTCGTAGCCATGTATAATGAGCCCCATCTAAGTGTTGTAGTAGTAGTTTCCATACCAGCTAGAAAGAAATCCATGCATACATTGAGAAGGTTTTCATAGCTAGAATTGTCATAGTAATTTCCTGGAGCTTATTTATTGCCTGAGCAACTTACTTTAGGTTTTTATTTGTCTGCATTTTCTTATAGTATGCTTGTGCCAAACACTCTGGCTCGTCATCTGGGTTGTAGTTCTTCAAACTGCGTTGAACATCCTGTTTGATGATTTCCTTCACCTAGCACGAAATCGCTGAGTAAAATTTTCTTCTGAATCAACTTACCTTCGACATCATATCCTCTATTCTCCCTTTGATAGCATATCCAATTACTGGTAATTTGTGTACGAAAGGAAACATTTGAGGGAGCATTATCAGCTTATTTTCCCTACAAAAAGCGAATAAAAATTTTTTCAAAATTACGTAGAAGGATTTTCATCCTCACTTTCCAGCTTCAAAAATTGCATTAAACTGATCAGCAACTGCCATCAGACGATCACTCTTGTCATAATCATAGCTGAATCCGTATAGCGTTTTATTGATGACATTTGCGATGAAAACCTAGAAATCTGAGTTACTTCAATAAGTTGGGCAATAAGATTGTAGCAGTAAAGTATCACAAATTCACAGCAATCAAAGGTACTTTTGAAAACCTCCTCCCCTGAATCCATTCAAAAAAATTTCGATGATTCTTTTTCGGAAAAGACGGGCTAACAAGGCTCGGCACAAGATGGCATTAGTGGAATTTCAAAACGATGTCCCCTTTGGTCTCGGAAATTCCGTACAGAGCCCCCTTCGACGCTAAACCCTAAAGGTAGAAATTTCCTCAAAAAAAGGAAACGTCGACTAAAAAAATTTTTGTCTTTTCGGCCACAAAAACGATTTCCCCTTTGCTCCTTATTCCAAAAACGATATCCAGCTTAGCCCGATGCCAGCTGTGCTAAACCCTGAGGCTTAATAGTTTAGGTGGTCCGTTAATCCGCTCCAAATTCCATGATTTATCCTCTGCTTTCCTCTATCAAAAGTTGTTGAATTGTTCAATTTAAATTATGAGCCTCATTCTGAGTCGTTTTACAATTTCCTACGGAAATTCCGTAAAGACTGCCTTATCCACCCCTTTCATCCTTTTTTTCACAAACCTTAAATAAAGCAAATATTAGTATATTGTATCGACTTGGGTGATAGTATTAGGTTGAACCGAAAGTTCTGTCGCACCATTTTCAAAAAATCACTTCTTTCCGTCAAAACGATTTTGCGCAACTAATTTTGTCTGAAAGTGAAAGTGTAGAGCATGTAGTTTCCAAAATTCCCTGGGGACTTCCCAACATGCTCAGCTTGCAGAGATAAAAATGAAAGAACGAGATTATCCGAAATTCGGAATTTTTAATTATAAAAAAATCTAGAAACTGTGCAAAAAAATCCGGAACAGCTGTCATCCTAGGTTTTTTTTTTGTATTTTGTTACTGAGTGAGTTAAGTTTGTGATGATCGAACTCTTCTTTCAGAAGCTACGTTTTGGAAAAAAATGCCGAAAAATCAATTTCCTAACGATTCTTAAGAAATCATTTTTCGGCGTTTTTTTCAAAAAATCATAACTTTTGAAAGAAGGGCTCGATCAGCACAAACTTGATTCAGTTAGTAACAAAATATAAGAAAGCTTAGGATGATGGCTGTTCTGGATTTTATCGCACAGTTTCTAGATTTTTAGAATTTTTGCTCAAAAATTCCGAATTTCGGATAATCTCGTTCTTTTATTTTTATCTCTGCAAGCTGAGCATGTTGGAAAGTCCCCAGGGGATTTTGGAAATTACATGCTTTACACTTTCACTTTCAGACAAAATTAGTTGCGCAAAATCGTTGTGACGGAAAGAAGTTGTGATTTTTTGGAAATGGTGCGACAGAACTTTTGGTTCAACCTAATATAAGAAGCTCAACAAGATTATGGTTTTATAAGGAACGAGTCATCTTTTTTGTACCCAGATATAACATCTTTACCTGTATTGGATGTCGGAGATCCATTGCTTCCTTGTTTTTGATCGAATTCATATGCGCGAGAAAATCTTGCGCGGAAAGGAGAACCTAAATTCTTCGTTGGCGATAACGAGAAAATCTAGGTTAGCCATAATATTAGAATTTTGGTACAAACCTGTTCTTCCATCAAATTTTTTCCCATGCCAAAATCTCGCAAAATTTGTATCGAAGTTCGACGTTGTTCCTTCCAATTATCGCCCTGAAATCGTATACTTTAAATTTCCAAAGTGTAATTTTCAACAAAGTCTTTGTTTGAAATTTACTTTAGATTTGTCGGTTTATCGAAAATTATCTCCAATGAAAATCGATCAATTACCTGTGAAAAAATGACTCCTCCATTCTCGACATTTTGGAAAAGCGTGTCGGGAAAAGCGTTAGTTCTTCCGGCAAAATCATCACCTGCAAAAGAGTCAGCACATTTGGAGGAGGGGAGCCTAGATAGTCATAGAACAAAAAATTGGGAAAAAAGAAGAAAGGAAAACGAAAGAAATGAATTTGAATGTAGCGGGAATGATTCTATTCGAAACTTCATTTTTGGCTTGTAGGAATTACAAGTGAACGAATGTGGAACTATCTAATTAATCGTCAAATTCTTTACATTAGTATTACTCAAATTGTTATTTGCTAATCATATGTTATTCATTTGAGATAATTAGACAATCTCGCTTAGCAAGCTGTGCCTACCTTTCTTAGCAAATGCTTCCTTGATGAGGTCATAATCTGTGATGACCACATACGGTAATGGAAGCCATACTGTGAACACATTACCGTATACCTTCGAGTATTCGGAAAGATTTTCGTGTAGCTTTCGAAATTCTACCTGACACAAATATTCATACCTCAGTAATGAATCCATAACAAACTCACCGAGAGTAAATTTCCGAGAAATGGAATTGGTGTTGGTCCTTTCGGATAGCGTTTCACATTCTCGTAAAAAAGCCAAATATAGATGCCCAGGGCGCTCAGAAGAAATGAAATAACTATCAGAAACATTCCGCTAGCGATCAGTTGGGTCGTATGCTCTACTTATACCAGACGCAGTTAGTGCTCGTAGTTTGTGTGCTACACAAAAAACACGCTATAGTCGACGTAAATAGGCGAGCACAGTGTGAGGAGCGAAAAACAGACAGAAAAGCGGCATCACAGTCAGCTTTTTTTTTACTGATTAGATATGAAGAATGGCGGAAAATGCGTCGTTAGAGTTCCTTCAGTCCACTTGAGGTTTATGCACAGATGTTACGCTTCATAATAACACTAGTTACCTTGTAAGATCTTTTGTATAACTTTTATGAGCAAACATTCTTTATTTTTCTTTCTAGTAGTAACGGTGCAAAATTTGCAATGACAGAGCATATTTGGTCTTTCGGTTACCACTACACCTCTTTTTTTCTTGCGAATTTTGGCAAACCGTTACATTTCCACCATTGAATGCAGTGTTGATGATCTGTGACCACAAATTTACTGATTCGATCAGCCGAACACAATTATAGACCAGTACGACCATTGATAACAGACGACGTTTTCAAACTTGATAAACGCACATGGCAAGACAGCTTGTTCTCCAATATTTGTAAGTATATAGGTCGAGTCAAAAGTAATGAGAACTTTTCGCGCCTCTTTTCGAACTTTAGAAAATTGTGAAGAGTATACTAATAGAAGTACCCTAGACGGTATTAAACGTAGCTTTTCTTTCTCTCTTCACCAGGCTAACGGCTCAGTTGACTTCTTAGTTGTCGAAAAAATTTCCCAAATTTTGAACCTTCATTTTTGCTTTGAGTAAGTTTAGCTAATCCTCACAATTTTTAGTTTGAGGGTTTCAAACAAGTTCGATTATCTAAAGAGAGCAGATCCTGCTTAATGCAAACTACCTCTTAGGTCTTTTGAAACTAGCATTTTGAGGCTTTTTAAGATTATTTTCCCAAATGCCCTAAAAGTTCAAAAAATCGCTCAAAACAAAAATGCATCAAACTCTACAAATTCTTTCGAAATTGGGAGCTTCGAACATAGTTTATTATCAAATCTTGATTTTGCAAAGTATTCAAGCGCTTACCTTTTCAAATTACCATAGACTAGAATTTTTTGCCACGTCTGACAACCATAGAATTTGAATGGTATACGCTTTGGGTTCAAAATTTCTGCATGTATTTCATCAACTACGAAGTGATTTGATCGGAAATTACAACTGCTGGAAAGAAGAAGAAAAGCCGTATCGGATACCGTTTAGAGCATTTGCCTGTTTACATTCTACCTAAATTGAAAATAGGTTTAAAAAGAGATACGAAGTTCTCATTGCTTTAGACTCACCGTATGTGATACACGAGGATGCGAAAGGATGAGAAAGAGAATTAAAAGAGGAAGGAATGATCAATAAGAAACTTAAAAATATCCTTTTTGCAACATAAAGAAACAAAACCCTCGATAAGTTTACTAGCATTAAAAAAATAGCTGTGTCAATGATGAGTCAAGCTGTACACCGTACAATAGAGCATGCAATAGCCTTTTCTCCATGTTCGTGAATACATACAATACCGCTCCCATTTTTTGCAAAATTGTCGTGTTTTGAGTCCTCGAATTGCACAAAGCTCATAGGCAATAACTACTGACTTTCAAAAACTTTATTTTTCCTAGTTTTCGTCTAAGCATTTGTACCTGTCCGTACATAGTGATTGAGATAGAGGGTGTGGATGAATGAACTTTTGCATCTTTATTAACGTCAAGTGTGGGTGCACATGCTTATCAACTTTTTAATGAAAAGAAAGATCGAGACATTACGCAATCTTCACCGCATTACCCATGTACCGAGTATTCTTCAGATGCCAGTCCTTTTCAATTATGCAAACTATATATGCTTTGTAAGCCCTATGTCGATTCCAGTAACTTCCCTTGCTGCAACCAATATTTCGTGCATTCTTCGAGGTCAACTGCTTTAACTGTCTTCTCAGGCCCACACTAAAAAGTTCGAAAAAGATGCTGAAGGCGCAATTGTGGCAAGTTTTCATTATTGAACTTACTCTGATGCATATGGAAAGACAGCAACACTGTAATGAGAACCGACCAATTTTGCTTTCTGCCTTTTCGCTATCGCTTTCACCTCTTCGAGGTTCTTTACATTCTTCACTATGATAGCATTGCGAACCATTGCCGCGAAAATTTCGAGGAAACAGAAGTAATTCTGGAAGCGTACTTTGGTTGAGAGTTTGGCAAGTACTACTGCAGGTAACAGCAAAAGCAGAAGTTCAAGCCCCGAATGTGCACAAATCAGGGCTCGGCACGAGCTGGAACCAGGGAAATTTCATAACGAAGTCCCCTTTGATCTCGAGAATTTCGCACGAAGTCCCCCTTATCCTGTTGATTGGAGCAGATTTTTCGACCGCGGAGTAGATCGAAAAATTTTCAGATGTCTATAAAACACCGTAAAGAAAGCATTATGAAATCGTTTTCTTCTGTATGTAAACTTTCACAGTGGAGATACAATCTGTGTAGAAAAAAGTATGAAAACTCATGCGAGCAAAGGGTCGGTGCCAGCTCAGCTGGCACCCAGCTGCACGGCGCCAGCTAATTCAGAAGAAAGTTTAGCACAGCTTTCATTCATACAAGATTTCATAAATTTTTGGGCTATAGTTCGGGTCTCCAACGCGCATGCACGCACCAAATTTGGTGTCATATAATTTCGTTTTATTTGTAAACAAGGCTTTTGTTTGTTTGGGGCAGAATTCAGGTTCCGGCGACGTGTTAGCACCGGCATGTCGGCTGCGAGTGGCATACTGGCGGCATGCTATTGAACAGAGGCATAAAGACTAAGCATGCCGCGGTATGCCAGCGGCATGCCCCTGACATTCTAACCAACAGTTCTAACCCTAAACGATATCCACTTTGCTTTCCGCCCCAAAAATGATACCCAGCTTGACCGGTGCCAGCAGTGCCGAGCCTTGACACAAATGCTTCTTATAAGGAAAGCTACCTAACTTAGCTCGGCTTTTTGATAAAAGGCATACACATTTTGAATCAGCTTTAAACGCTTATTCCACATATGCTATTCCTAGCTGTCACCCGCACCATTCCGAAGCGGGTTATGGGCTTTTCCTACGCAAAATTGGCATATGCTGAACATGAGAAGACTGCCTGTAGATAAAAATCTACAAGAAAAAGGTGCTGAGGTCTGAGATATCGAAACCATATCCAATCTTTTCTCACTAAAAAAAACTTAGTGCAGGTGTATCAGTTGAACGATGATGACGTGATGCTCGTGAGTCGATGAGCATGCCAATTTTGCGCAGAAAAAGCCCGTAACTCGCTTCGGAATAGTGCGTGGCAGCTAGGAATAGCATATTTGGGATCAGCGTCTGAAGCTGATTCAGACTATATATAGGCTGTATCAGCCGGCATCGGTCCCTCGCCAGCAGGCCTTGCGACGCACCGTCGCATGCGGCGTGCCATAACGCGTGGCAGAGTTCGAGCGCGCCAGATCGCATCTTCGCAAGTCACCGCAGGCGCGACGTCGCATAACCGATGCTGGTTGGTACAACCTTATGTCCCTTGCCAAAAGGCCGAGCTGAGTTAGGTAGCTTCCCTTGTTAGGTTCATATGCATTAACATCCCTGCGGCGAGGGGGATGGCGTCTCCAATGATAAAAAAGCCGCAGCAATGGCCGGAGGCGGCTCTTCATAATAGAGAAGCCGTTCCCCTTGCCGCAATAATGTTAAGGTATACGGGCCTTAATCGTATTGCTCTCTTACAGCATCCGGGTGGAGTTTCTTCTGTAGCTGTAGTCTTTGCCTGCGTCATAAGCTTTCCATCGATTTTCGTAGTCGCACTTGGTCTCATGTGTTTTTGCAGCCACTACTGCGAAAAAAATCTGCAATTCTGTTTATAACAAGATGCCAAATTTGCTACTCAAAACTTACAAACAGCGTAAAACAGGGATTCATAGTAGATCAAATGTTGTTGAGCCGTTCTAATAGCTGTGATTTGAAGTGATGATTTGCCAATATTACCCCTGCGCCTAACTTTGTTGGAAATTTGGAGCAGTTTATTGAATGTATTGGTTGTACTTCATCAATGCAGTTAATTTTGGCAGTTCCATAGTACAGCACTCACACTCTTTTGACTTATGGAAAACAGTAGCTCTCTTTCGCAGCACACATTTCTTGCGTACGAGTAATTCTGAAATGGACGAAAAGATTCATTCGAGAGAGATATTTTTTGTCAGTTGCAACAAAACATTTTGAAATTTATTGCATAGGGGTTCCTAGACATAAAGTAAACAACAACAAACAAGGGATTAAAACATCAAGAAACGAGGTGAATGAACATAAAGCTCAAGTCCGTGAAGGAGAAGAGGTTTTTGAGAATGGTTTGAATTGCGCCATTTAACAGGAAATATATTCTTCTTAACCGGCTTATTAATATCATGAGTAACTCGGTTTACAAAAAATTCCGCCTCACATTTTTCCTAGGCCATGGTAGTACTAATTTGTCTAAGCCTTCTTTATTTATAGAACTTCTTCTCTCAAAAAAATCTGAAGCACTGAGATTGCAACTTCCGAATGAGCCATTATCAGATCAAAAGCGTGTCTTTCAATAGCAAGAGGCTCAAGACCCAAATTCTTATTTCGAATGGTGTAGCTGGGAATAAGACCGTATATAAATTCATTACTCCTTATTAGCAGTTTCCTAGTGTTTTGGACTTTTTCAATAGCTTATTCTTGCAAGGATCAAATACAACAATTCTGATGTAACTTGATATATATATTTAGAACAATAACCCTCGAATACCAGGAGACGCCAATATACTTGATAAACTGCCACTTAATCGTGATGAGCGTACCTCAACTCAAACTTGTGTAATTTTACCGTTTACTCAAAGAACTAGAAAAGAAAAACCGACAAAATAATATAGAACAAGGTAACAAGAGACATATCTCTAAAACTACAGAACAAATGCAAATGAGTAGCAATGCCAAATGATACTAACAGGAATGACTGATAAAAAG